ACATTAAAATAGAAATAGTTAAAATTAAAAGGCATAATAAAGATAAGTAAAATGATAGAGCAAATTTATTTATAAAGAAAAAAGCAGATAGCAAGAAAATAATCTACATAAAAAAAATTAAGTGCAATAAAATAGAGTACTATATAGAATGAGAAAATAAAAAGATTGACATACCAATAAGACTTCTTAGTAAAATAATTATGAATGCCAAAATTAGAGCTAGTTGATAAGAAATAAATCCAATTAGAATACTAGAGCCAAAAACTAAACAGACACTATACAACTAATCAAGCTTTTGAAAAAAAAATTAAAATAAATAAAGTATGCTATACATCAAGAAGACTTATTACAAGAAGAGCTATAGCAATCAAGTGCATAATAAATAGTCTATCAATATTAAAAAAACTAAACAAAAAAAAACCAGAAGTATATACAACAGAAGACTGCCAAATTTGTTAAAATGAGAAGATAGAAACTTAAGCATATATAACAAGCTGCAACAAACAAAAAAGTTTATAAAAACAGATTCAAAAATTGTTAGTGACAACAGTGTGAAATGAACTTAAAAAAAAAGAAAGATAGAATTTTACTACAAGTGCTATATAAAACATTCTTTAGAGAAACAAAAAAAAAAGAAATCAAGTACAGAAAATCACTAATAAAAGAACTTACAATATTGAAGATTAAAAAAGAACTTAAACAGCTATTAAACAAATGTGCAATATAGAAGTATATAAATATAATAACTAGAATAACATAAAATACTTTTTATAACCAAGTATAAAGAGTTTGATATAAAAAATATAATAATAGGAAAAAATCTCCAATATAACAAATAAAAGAAAAAAAGATAATAGAGAAAAAGTAAAATTAAAAGAAAAGAAAATAAAAAGTAAAATATTGAAAGAAAATGAAAAAGAAAAAAAGATAGAAAAAATAAAATGAGTGAAGAAAAAAGCATTGAAAACAATTTAATATGCTTATCACAGAAGGAAGAAGACCTTTCTGATATAGTTTTAAGTAGTTAAATAAGCAGTTTATCTTTAATTAAGATAGTGTGACAAGTTGCACTTAGGTATCATTAGGGTGGCTGAGTAATGCTAAACTTATATATTAGGAAATTCTATATAATTATATATGTATATAGTTTTAAAAATTTTAATAAAGTATTAGTATAATTGCTTAAAATTAAAAAAAATCATTTACACAAAATTTAACTTAAATTTCACTTATATAAAACTACTAATATTTTAAAATTTTATTATATAAACCAATTTTGATGTCTTAAGCAATCTTGTTTATTTTATAATTTTATATATATATTTAAAATTTTATATTATTATTTTTTAAACTTATTAAAAAAAATACAAAAATATTTTTTAATTACAATAAACTAAATATCTTTACAACAAACTTTAGATCTCTAATAAAAACTATTCAATATACTTCTCTAATCAGAACAAGCTTTAAACAAAACTTATAACCTTAATATTAACTAAATTATATATTTTATTATAAAAATTTTTTTTTTATTCCTTTTTATTTTATCTTAAAAATTCTTATTAGAATAATTTTTGTATAACAATATATCATTTCTGAAATTGATTAAATTAAATTTATATAGTACAAGTTACAAAATACTTAAATAATCTATACATTGCAATTAATTTAATACAAACAAATTATTTACTAATTAGTAAATAGTTGCATTATACTAATTACAAATTACTGTATATTCTTAACTTATATTATTTTTAACTACAATATATCTAAAAATATCAAAATTTTAAATATTTTTAATATAAATTTTACTATCTATTAGCTAAATTTACTGTAACCAATCTTATTCTATATTTATATTTACTTATTATACTTTAAATTATTTATATACTTACAAATTAATTTACTAATCAATATATATCATTATATATACTTCTTTTTTATCACAATAACTAACAATCATACTCTATATTACATTTTCTTTATTATATTCTCTTTATCACTTTTCTCATATATTACCTAATTCTAATTTAATACTAACAAATTCTTTCTTTATTTCTACAAATTACTTAACTAAATTTACTAATATCTCTATTTTTTACTAAGTATACATTACTTAGTATTCTAAGTAAACTTGTTTCTAATATCAAATTATATATAATTTAAAGTTTCAAACATATCTTTAAAATTCACTAAGAAAATCAACAAAATAAGTCTTATAATTATAAATAATTTCAAAATTTATTTTATATAAAATCTGCAATATTTTTATATTTTACTAAAATAACCTTTTTTGACATTTTAATTAAACTTATTTCTTACAAAAATTACAGATATTTTAAAAATATTAAACTTAATCTATCTATTTTGATGAAAAAAATTAACAAACATCTAAGAAATACATATTTTAATAAAGTTTTCTTTATTATTCAATTATACAAGTCAATACTAATATTATTAAAAATCTATTAGACTGGTTTCAAACTTATCTTATTAATACCAAAAATCAAGACCAAGTACAATTTTTTATATTACTCAGTTTACAAATTCTTGTTTTATTAAACTATTTCTTTAAAACTTCTATTCAAATTGAATTCAAAAAAATGAAACAACTAATCAACAAATACTAAAAGTAACTTTAATGAACTTTAAACAATATAATTTTTACAAAAACTACAATTCTTAACTAAATTTATTTATCAAAACTTATCAAATACTCAATATATTAATATATTATACAATTGTCTTCTGTTTATATTTAGAGATATTTTATCTAATTTTATTATTGTTCTTTTTATTAAACTTAATTATAAAAAAATATTTTATTCATATTATTTTTTACTACTACACTCTATTTTTAAATACTTTTAAATAGTAATTAATTTTGTCTATTTATATCTTTTTCTATATAACAAATACAAAACTATTAATTATACCAAATTTTCTAAAGATCTTAATCTTAAACCTATTCAAATGACTTTATATTTTAGTACAATATTTAATAATATCAATTTACTATTTATTAAAATAAAAAATAAAACCAAATATAATATCTATATTACATATAATATTTCTACTAAAAATTTTCTTAAAACTTTCTATATTACTTCTTTCAAAATATATTAAACATTACTTGATAAATAGTTTCTAAAATTCTTTAACTTTTATAAAAAACAATTCTCTTATATTAATGAACAAAAAGTTTATAATTTTATTAAATATTAAATAATTACTTTTTTTACAATTGAATTTAAAAAACTTCTTTCAAAATCTTATTCATTTCTTATAGTAAACTCACTACAAGAAAAGATAACAGTTTTTATTAAAGCTTTATTATATCACATATATACATGTATAAATAACAAATATAATATTTTTTTTTATAAGATTCCATATATCTTTTATAATTTGATCTTTTTTTATTTTCAAAACTCTTTTAAATTTTTTTCTGTTTCTTTTAACTATATTTATCCAAACTTAGATTTTTCAATTTTTAAACAAAACTAACTTTTAACTGCAACTTTTATTAAATTTTTTTTATTTAAAACTCTTAAACAACTTGTTCAAATTACTAAACAACAATTTACATAACTTAATAATATATTTACAAATCCTAAATATAAATATTTTTTTTATTATACTTATATTAAATACTACTTCAATTTGGTAGCTAAAATAATAATATTAATAACTCTAACTTTAAAAATACTTTTCAAAATATCTTTACTAAAACAACTGATCTACATACTCTTGCCCAAACAATAGCATACTTTAATATTATAGAATTCTTTAATATTTCAATTTCTGAACTTTAATTTAAATATTATTAATCATACTTATCACAAGCAATGCAATATATCTTTAAAAAATTTAATATACCAAAAATTTCTATAGATCTCTTTTTTTTCAATATAAAGTACTAGAAATACTAAATTCTTTTTTTCTTTTAGATTCTTAACTAGTACTACTTTTACAATACTCTTCTAAAAAAACTTAATTTTAAATAATAACAATATTAATTTACTTTATTTTATTTTTATAATACAATTATTATATTTTTCTTTAATTCTATTATTTTACTTAAAATAACATATTTATACAATAACTAATAATTTCTTATATTTATATTAAATAAATTATATATTATCTATACTTTATAAATTTCTTATAAAGACTTATACAATCTAAGTTAAACTCATCTAGATTTGTATAAGTACAACAAATCTAGATGGGTTTTAATTACTCTAGTTGGTTTAGATCACAAATAAAATAATTTGAGCTTTAATTCTTGTATGTAGTTTTTATTTTGTATTATGCAATCTTAGTATATCTTAATATGTAGTATATTAATATATGTCATGGCTAATGCTAAATTTGACTAATGCTGAAGTTCACATAACATATAATAAAACAATTTAGTTGTTATATACAGAGTTTATTTATATTAGGGTTAACATTTAAATTAGTGTTAGAGGTTATATTAAGGTTAAAGATCAGTAAGCTATATAATAAAAATACAAAAGAAAACCTTTTTATTAATGCATAAAAGTTGTTTTTCTGCAAGTTTTTGGTATTTTCAAAATTAATATTTGTTTTGAATTTTCTAATTACAACTTACTATTGGCCGATAATCACATGAACTTCAACATTAGCCAAATTCAGCATTAGTTATGACAATATATACAATAAAAATTACTAATAAAAATATAAACAAGACCATATCTTAATACCAAATATATATATATAGCTTTAAGAATCTTAATCAAGTACTAGTATAACTACTTAAGATTAAAAAAATAAAAAATAATAATAAATAAAATTTAATTAATTATATTATTGTCAGTTATATATAGTTAACTAAAATTTTAAAAAATATTTATTATTTGATTTATATCACTTAATTAGATATTCTATATAATAATTAATTCATTATTGTAAATTTTTTTTACAAGTTTAGGTTTAAAAATATTTTTTGAGTTTAGGTTTGGATTTAGCAAAATCTAGCCTAACCCAATCCATTCCTTACTATAGATATGAATATAAGAATCTGCAAATTGTTAGTTACACAAAATATTATATTTGTGTAATTGAAAATTGCAAATCTTTTGTTTGTGCCTTTAAACCATCTTAAATATTTTGGGATTCACCAAACTGATTTTAATAATCTAACTACTATTAGAATTAGCAAAATCTTTTTTAAAACTTTACTTAGAACTCTAACTAATAAAAACTTCTTTAATTTTTAAAAAATTAATTTTTTAATATTAGTTTTTATTTTTTATTTATTTTTAAATATTAATGCCTATATTAGTTTTGATATTATTGGTTAAAATCAATATTATAATATTAAAACTAAAAATAAAAAATTTTATGTAACCATAGTGAAAATAACGATTCCCTACATCAATACGTACAAACATTTTAGTTAGTAGTTCATAAGTAGACAATGGTCATAGTGTAATATGATGCAAGTTTCATATATTTATTAAACGATTTCTGTTCGTACACTAGTATATGAAACACGGATATATATAACCCTAACCTAAACCATAAACCCAAATTAATTTTTGGTTCTTTAATTTTGTGTGATACGATTTACATGTGTACATACACTAATGTACGTTAAGAAATGTTCTTTTATTAAATATATTTTTATTTTAAAATTCTTACATATCCAAATAAATAAATTTCGAGGCTATTAGTAAATAAGTACCACTGGGCAAAAACCAAACTTCAAGTATTCAATTTTATAATTCACTTGACTTATCTGAAAAATTTAGTCAACATTGTGCTTCAATTATATGCCTCTAATCAGATTTTTCAAAAATAAGTCCAGTAAATAATAAATTAAAAAAGTCCAACATTTGATTTTCTCAAAGCGAAACTTATTACAATCAAAAAAATATCAAGTCAGTTTTCATTAGAGTTGGATTGAACCGGGTTAGGTGATGATTGGCATTCCACTAAGTATTGTTAAAATAGTTTGGGCTACCACTTTAATTCAGGCGTAACAAACCGGTTCCAACTTCTATTACTTCAGTTTTGGCGAGAAATTGAAACCGAAACAATACATTTTCGTGGAAAACATTACCTTCAAAGATTGCATATAGAGGATCATGGACAAACCAAAACATCTTTACTTATGTATATTAATTCCTCTTGACGTAACTGATAACGAGTTTTGGCCAAGGTTTGATAAACAAAATCAAACAAAAAAGACTAGAACTATAACTAACGCTAACCTAATACGGTTAACTGTCTAGATCTTTCGTATTCTAATAATCATATATTCTGCGAATATTCGAATAAATCATCAATAATTATCTGACGAATAGTGCGAAAAAACAAATTTTATTCGAGTAAGCAAATTTATTCGAATTATTCATCATGCGAAACTTCAGCCATTGGTTGTTTCACATAGTGTGACTATATGGGGTTTAGAGACATTTTGATCAAAATTAAGATTTTTACCAGATTTATATTCTAAGCATTTTGATATATTCACAGTAAGTTTTTTAGCCGCATTAGCATAATAAAATTTTGTACAATTTTGCACGCAGTATTTTTTATCTCTATTTTATTTGTCAAATTTTAATTGATTAAATGCAGATATCTACAAATAAAATTTTGTTTCGTAGTCCTTTTTTACTGTTTACTGATCCATATATTGTTTGAATATTATTCGAATAAATAGTTATTTATCCGAATATTATTTGAATAAGAAATCAGTAAGTTCTTTAAACCTGTCAGATTTTGACCTTATTAGAAGTTTGTTTTTCGAGATTTTGTTCTGCTCCTGGAACATGTGGACAGGGTTTTTTAAATTATCAGAAAGCTACAAGTCGCAGCGAGAATCATTGAAAAAATAATCTGATAGATGAGTGTCATCAAATTTATGTAATAATCTTGTTCTAAAAATCGATGGTATGGAGAAAACAAGATTAAAAACAACTCAAATGGTTGCATTGTAAGTTCGGAATGGTTTAGTTCAGAATGTTTTTACCACATAAAGCAAGGTGTCAAAGAAAGGATAAACGCCCAAAATTTGTGATAATTGCATATTCGTAAGAAGATGTGAAAAATCTGACAGAGAGTCAGGTTCACACTTAGAACCTATATTGGATACGAATGGTAAAAATTAACATTGTTAATTTATATTGGATTCAACTTCAAGGGTACGTGAATATAACGATTTTAGAATACAATCACCCTAATACATTACAATTACTGCATTAACTTTAATTCGATGAATTATGTAACGGTAAAACAATGAATCGCGAAATAGTTTCATTACATCACTTATCACAAACCGAGTATAAACACAACGCGTCATATATTATAATTAAGTAAATTAGATGTGTCGATTCATTTCTTTTTTAGTATAAAGTTATAGAATAACAAAAAAAGCTTCAAAGAATTTTTAACAAGTTACACGTGAATAAATAAACGTAACATGTGAATATGTTAACAGGCTATTTACTTGTTCTGCGCCACGAATAAATCTGGTTAACCTGTCCAATGCTTGAGGTTACAGGTAACCCGAAGTCTTGTTTTGCGATCCGATATTCTTTTCTCTCATAGTCGTCTGACTTATCTCAGTTAAACGGTGTGGCTGAGCCATTAATGTATGGCTTTTCCTTGAAATATTTATCATTAGTACTAGCATTTTGGTACACCATTGGGAAATTTCGCCAGTTGCATTGCTGGAATTTTTAACATAATAGCACATATATTTAACAATTGCCAATTATTTATAAGAAATTGTTTATATGTACGAAAAATGCATCATTGCTTCATTCTACGTACACAAAAATGTCAACCCTAATTGCCATCAAATTATCCAAGTTAAATTTTTAATTTTTTTTTTACGATTCCACATCTTTTTTTCGGATTCACTTCGTTCAAAATGATTAAATATAAGATCATAATAAGAGATAATAAGATACAATAATGTAATTATTATTTAAATTGCCATAGTTACCATAATTAAACTTCCAAGAAACAAAATTATTATTGTAATTAGTTACCTTTATTTTTTGGGCATGAAAAAGGAAATGTATAATAACGTAAGAACGCCATTACTTTAATTTGTCATATTGACAGAATTCAAATTCAGATAAGGTCCGTCGTTCAAGAATTAACTTTTTCGGAAAATTAAAAACAATCAAAAAGGGAAAGGAGTTAATTATATTGAATTAAAAAACCAGTGTGAAAGCATTTAAGTAAAAAACCATTAATTAATTAAACCCAACACGAAAATGAAATATTAACTATATAATTAGAATTAATTTATTATTATTTTTTATTTTTTATTTTTTTTTTAAAAAAAAGTGGTAGGTAAAAAAATGACGGAAAATTTATTATGTAATAAGTGTTTTGTTATTTGCGCAAAGCCACCATAGTACCCTTGTGTATAAATGACTAGCATCTGATTTTTTCTACGTAATAACAATGAATTTCGATCATTGTGAAACCGATTAACCAAAAATCGATTTTTACATAATCTATTAACATATTACCGACCCGTTGAAGCTACCGGTATCTTTATATAATTATATATAAACAGTAAAACCACCTCCTTCTGTCTGATTGAAACTATTATCACTGTGGAGTATTTAGGAATATATAAATATAAATACTATTACTTATATCAACCTGACGTTTTTCAATAAATCATACTCTGATCCCATCATCAATATCAGTTACCTTTGATCAACATCAAAATCCGCTACTGTGCCTTGAGTATTTATTTATTTTTTTCTACTTATACGTCGTCGAAATATAGATAACAGGTGGGTCTTTTTTATTTATCATTTTTATTTATTTATTTATTTATTTTTTGTATTTTCTGTTTGTATTTTCTGTTTTGTATAATCTGCTTTGTATAATCTGTTTTGTATTGTCCGTTTTTTTTCTAAAAAAAAAAAAAGAAGTTATTTGCAATATGACAACAACGATCCAAATAAATCATCCTGCTCAAATTCGTCAGCGTGGCAAAGTCAAGTTTTTCAACATGCAAAAAGGCTATGGGTTTATCATTCCTTGTGACCTTCCTTGTAACCTTCCAGAGTGTGATAAAGTAGAAGGTGATAATTTATTTTCGCGTTTCTTTCGAATTTGATGTTTTAAAAATTGTCTTGGTATTATCTGTGGTTGTTTAACTGGCAATTCATTTTGTATCTCCTTAAAATTTATTTTGTTTTCATGATTTTATTTTTTATTTTTATTTTTATTTTTTTTTGGTGTCAATTCATTAAGTTTTTGTGCATCATACCTCGATTCATAATGATGGGGGTTTTAAGAGTCTTGCTGAGGTATCATTATCATAAGTGAAATCAGTCTCATTCAGTGCAATTTACGCGTCTTTCTGTCGCTTACCAAAACTTCATTTGTCACTCTTTCTAATTACGACTTGATCCGCGTTCTGCTTGCCTTTTCAGGGTGAAGATGTATGTATCTCTAAGCGATCTCTGAATACGTATATCTTATTAAAGATATTAACCGATTTCTATTATTTATTTATTTATTTTTGTCTAGGTTGAATTTGATTTGATTAAAGGTCCAAAGGGATTTCAAGCTGCAAACGTTAGTGGTCCGAATGGTATTTCTGTTAAAGGGGATCCAAACGCACCAGGTCGACGTCCCATGTATACTACGTTAGTTTTTTTTTATTTATTTGTTTTAATCCGATTCAATTCGTTTATTCCTCATAAATTCCTAATTTTAACTTTAAAAAATCAATTAGTAATAATTATATCGGATTAAACCCTACCTACGGAATACTTGATCGACCCCTTAAATTTCCAACTGGTAGTGATCTGGCTACAAGCAATGCTGGTAAATTTTCTTATCGTATTATATAGGACTAAATTATATTTTTCTTTCTGCATAACGTTTGAGCTGATTCGATTAACGGGTTTCGCTCAAGTTTTTTTTTTGTTCAAAATAACAACTTTTATTCAGCAATGCATTATTTTTTACAACTACATGTACAATTTTCTTAGGGGGTTATGGTGCCGCTATGGGAATTAATCAACCTTATGCTTTGCAATCGAACTACCCAGCGACACTTTATCAGCAGGGTACTCATTTCTCGTCTCATCAACCTCCTTATGCTTCGCAGTTTGCGAATTATGGTTCTACCTATGCCAACATTAATGCACATTCGAGTAATGGCTCTGGTGCCACATCACAACCTGTTCCGTTCACTCATCAACACACTTATACTCCCATTATCCCACAGTATCCTGTTGCAAATGGTGGTACTGCTCGTTTTGGTTCTAGTATCACTTCTGCCGAAAATCAAAATAGCGGTGGGTCATTAAAATCAAACGAAAGACCCTTTGGGTCAAATAATTTTAATAGATTCTGATTCTTACAAATCCTAACAATTCTTTTTCTTTTCTTTTTCTTTTCTTTATATATTTTTTCGTTGCTTTTTTCGTTTATTTTTATGATCAGGTGTCTAGTATGCTCTCACATTTGTATAGCACATAGTATGCATAGATCAATTATTATTATTATTATTTTTATAGTACATAATTAGTATCATTACCCGAATCTATTTTCTTGTTTGTGCTTAATAATAATTTTTTTTTAAAAAAAAACCCCATTCTGATACTTCGAGATTCAGCCTTCTAGCTGTTTTAATAAAATTATCTTGTGATTAACAAAAGTTGATCCGCGTTGATCATTATTTAATTAGCCAAGGTTGATCAGTCGGGAACAATATCTATCATTATTATTGTTTTTCTCAATGTCATTCTGATACATGATGTTGCATAACAATAAAATCAGATTACGTATTTCCTGTATTAAAGCAAGATCTACATCTCGGATTACGAGTAAGTCCGTATTAAGTCTCGACTATAGTGGGCTTTACATCAACAAATAATGTGCAGCAAGTCTTTATGGTCTTTATTTAGAATGATGTATACTGTATATCGATATAATTTGATATAATTTAAATAACCGCCAACGCTAACGCTAATTGTTAAGTCTTTAATATTTATTTATCTTTATTTTATATATATATATATATCATATAAATACTGTAATAGAAATCTATAATTACACTATTAATATTTTTATTATTCTATCGTCATTTGGATTTGTTAAACCGAATTTATTATATATAAATACTGTATTTTTAGTGATAGGTTATTGTTCAAATCATTACACGTGTTTTTTTTAGCGATTTTAAAAATCATTTAAATTTAAAATGTTTAAAAACAGTAACTTATCAAATAACATTCGTACAGTATATTCTAGTATATGTAAATTTTTGTATTACAAATTTATAATATGGCGCATCAGTCATTGTCCGTAGGACTTTATACGTAGCCACTCATTCATATCAACTAATTAAAGTGATCTTTATCATTATAACCAGATTTTCAATTTTAGCCAATCGGAATAACTCGATGAAACAAGATGGTTATTGAATCCGCTTTCATTATCTTGGCAAAATTTTAAGCTCAAATAAAGTTTAATTTCTAGATAACAAACCAGATTAAAAAAAATTGTTGCTCGAATATTAAGTTATCTTAATAATCTAGCCCAATTGATCCAGTTAACCCAATTAACGGCCCTAGCAATATCACCAAAAAAATTTTTTTTTTTTTTGCTGGCTAATCAATTTGCTCTAGGACGTTAGACATTAGTTCAAACTTTTTAATAAATAGTCAACACAATCGCGTGAATATTTTTATTGAAGATTTGTAAGGATTTGTCAGAAATAAAAGACAAACAAAGCTTTATGTATGTCGTAAGTGTATTCGGAATTTAGGATTTTCATAGTTAAACTAGGGTTAGGGTATGGGTCTACATATAATAAATTCAACCTTGAAGTTTCATTGAAAAGTTCAGAATCCACTTAGATTCTGTTCCCACTTACAACATGTACATTAAGTGATATATTATTTGTCCATCTTCAAAGGTATAATGTTTTATAAATGTTAGTTTATTGAGACCTCAGCAAACTTTGCTAAACGTTAAAATCTCAAAAATGCAATTCGTTTATTTGTGCCAAATCATGTGACTGACACTATTAGAGATCCTGTGACCGCAGATCGTTGCCAAACTATAGATAGCGTATTTAACGTTAATGGGTATGCTGATACAAATAAAAAAACATAGTTCCGTAATATGTCTCAGACAGATGAATCCCCTACAACACTGGCAAAGACGCCAACATATGAATATTATGGATTTGTACTTTATTTATTATCGTTCATAGCATTCGGTAAGACATAATGAAAGTACATTAAACCTTTTTCCAACTTGACTAAAAAGTGTCATAACCTTTATAATACAGCAATATATTTATTGTGGGCATATTTACCTAAAGAGGTTTTAGAATCCTTAGGGATCACTTACTATCCAGATAGGTGAGTGTAATTTCTATTTTGCTAACTTCTCTATTGTCATATTTATTTAATCATTCATTGTATTTTAGATATTGGGCACTTGCATTACCTGTATGGTCCTTTGTCTTGGTGATTTTCATTTTTGTCGCATTTATTTCAATAAATTTTCTGAATACAGCACCGCTTGATTCGTTTAACACAATAACAGGTTCTAATGAATTTAATTCAAATTTTTATTACAGTTGAGTGCTGTCAATGGAAAACCCAAATTCGAGCCTTCAATTATCTTTTGTGTACAGTCGGTATCCTGAATGCCATCTATCACCGGCTTTCAATCATATTTTATAATAAGTAATTACAAATATAATCGAAAAGTTCGATGATAAATTTTTTCTAGATGGCAATCAGAAGACAAACTGGTCACAAGATATAATTGAAAGCTCGAATATGGGCAGCACTCAGTTGTAAATAGTAATTTCTAATTTTTTTTTTCTTTTATTATTTCTAGATGACAGTGCTAATGTAGGTCAAAATTTATCACAACTATCGGGAATTACTGATGACTTTGTACCAGAGCTGCATGATATACCTATTGGTATAGTAAATGCGTGCTTATATCAAAATATAGCTTTATGGAAAAAGCATTAATCTCTTTTTAAAAAGGTAATATTCTGGCAATTAAATTGAATAAATTAAAATTAGTATAAAGTAAAATACTAATTTTTTTCTATTAACTTATAATCAAAAAACTTTTTTATTTAAATATCTAGATAATATATTTATAAAAAAAAATTATACGTATAATTTGTTGATTTAGTTTTTTTTAAAAAAAATTAAATCTATTCAATTTTAAAAATTTAAAAAATTAAAATTTTGCTTATTTTTAGAGTTTAATCAAAATTGATTTTTTTAGTGTTATTATGCAATTAATTTTGTGTAATTATTAAAAAAATGCAAAATTTTAAAGTTATTATCTATAAAAAAAAAAGTTAAAATAAAAATTAAATATTAATTTAATCTGTTTATTATATAATTTATATAATAAAAATTAATTATTTTAAGTTAAAAAAGTCACAAAATTTTAATTATATATAAATAAAAAATGATTTTTAAAATTTTAATTTTGATTTGTAAATTGATAACTTAATGGTTAAGCTTTCAGATTATCAAATTAAAGTTTAATTTGTATATAGTTTTTAAAAATAAAGATCAAAACTTTGTAATCAGAATGTTGAAGTCTAGTTTGAAAGCTAAAAAATAATTAGTATAACAGATATAATTTTATAGAAAGTTAATATTATATGTGATATTAAATATTACAGAAATAAGATGTAATAACTTGGTGTAATAGACATGTTATTAACTTCAAGTAACAAGTCTAGTGTTCAAATTTTATAAATAACAAAAATTAATTTGCATTATAACAACTATATTAGTAATTAGTTGAATTAACATATTTGTAATCTTAGATACATCAAGTAGGATTCTATATAGTATTAAAAGCTCAAATTCTTTATGTAAAATATAACATTATATAAATATAGAAAAATGCTTATTGATATTGTATAAGATTTTGATACAAATTTATAATAAGACTACTAAATATAAAAAATTAAAAAACTAAAGAGATAAAAGTTCACTTAGAAATTTCTATATAAAAAAGTAATACAAACTTTTAATTATACTGTTGAACTAATAAAAGCTTATAAATATTTTCTAAAAAAATAGATAGATAAACTGAACAACAAATATATAAAAAAGCATATGCATCAAACAGATTACCAGAATTGTTAAAAAAAATATAGAAATATATTATACTAAACTATCTGAATTGGTAGTTTATAGAGTTTTATTAGTTCTAAATAAGAGAACTAGTAAGAAATGATAAAGAAGATATTAGAAAAACAAATACTAATATTTGAGTAAACTTTACAAAAGCATAGTAATTTAATAATTAGTTTTGATTATAAGTGTTAATTTTGGATATAGTATTATTAAGATACAAAAGGTTCTAATAGATTTAGTGCAAAGTTAAAAATTTTTTATATAAATAAATTGTTTTAAAAATTTTGTAATTATAACAAATTTGTATAAATTATAATTAAAATAATTAGTAAAATAAATAGATAAGTAGATATAAAAACTAAAATTTTTTAATAAAGAACTTGTAAGTAGATTTTAGGTATAACAACTAATATAAAATTTTTATATAAACTACTTAAATTAGACAATAACTAAAGTTGTACAAATAACTAGTTATATACTTTTTTATAGTTACTTTTGTAGTTGTAATACAGCTACTAGTAAATATATTATCAATAAATTTTGGATCACAAGTATTATTTTAATATTAAAAAAATTATATCTATCATAAATATTAGTTATATAATAATATAAAAAATAAGTTCATTTTAATAAGTGATAACAAAAATTAACATTATTATTTAATATAATAAAATTGCTTAAAAGAATTATATAATAATTATCTAAGTAGTAAAAAAAATAATCAAATATATATAGTAAGTTAGATAGATATTTAAAAATTGCAAATAGGATGTGATAACCAAATAAAGTGAACAGGTTGTTAATTACAAAATAATAGGTTTAAAGTTCAAATTTTAGTGATAATAAAAATTTGTAATTCTTTTTGTGTTATGATTAATTGTTTTTTGTGAATAGTTAGAATTAGATATCTATTATCTGTGTTATACTAGCATAACTAGAGGTCTAGATATTTATACAACCTTGTACAAAGGAATATAAATCAGTACCAAATAGTATAAATCTAGGATAAGTCCTTAGGCTATATAAATTATAAGAATCAAATAAAAAAATAGAAGTCTACTTAGAAGACCCAAGTAGAGAGATAATTTAAACTTTTGATAATACTATTGTAAAGACTAGATCTATAAAATAGAGCTAAAACTTATAAAGTTAGGCAAAGAGCTGGTCTTTAAGAAGAGACCAAATAGAATTAGCCAGGCTATCAGAATTTGTTTTGGAAGAAAAAGTTATATATCAAAAAATATGTAAATCAGAAATATAGTTATAATCTATCTTTTTAAACTATTTAATCTAAGAGCTTGATAGAACTTGAATTAAATACTAAAGTAGTAAGAATATGTTGTAAAGTTAGTACTAGAGTTGAAGTAAACTTTACAATAACATAGTAGTTTAATAGTGCATTCTGATTGCAAGTGATGGTCTTTGTTATAGCAATACTGTGTCAGTTATAAGAATGAAATACAAAAGCTTCTAAAAAGTTTAGTACAAGATCAAAGATTTTCTTTTCTATATATGTAAACTGCTTTATAAACTTAGTAGTTATAGCATATTTTCACTAACATTGACTAAGATTATTAGTAGGCAAAAGTAAATAGATAGATATAGAAACTAGAAAGTATAAATAAGAAATCTACAAGCAGGTTTTAGGTATAGCAGCTAGTATAAAACCTTCAGATGGACTACTTAAATTAGACAATAACTAAAGTTGTATAAGTAACTAGTTGTATACTCTTTTCATAATTATTTTTTGTAATTTTAATGCAACCATTAGCCAAATATACTATTGATAAAATTATAGGTTACAAATATTCATCTTAATATTTAAAAAAAAATTACAAATAAAATAATATATTTCTAATTTAAATTTATAAAAAAATATGAGTTAAAAAAGTATTCTTATAGTTTTTAATTAATAAAGTTTATAAATAGATTTAAATTTACAAATTAAAAAAATTGTAAACATATATTAGTTTATATATTTCTTATAAGTAATATAAAATTAAGTTAATATAATAAAATAAAATAAAATAGAGAAAAATAATATAGAATTAAAGTTTAAATAAAAATTTAAATAATTAAATTTTAGAAAAAAAAAAAAAAAACAAAAAAAAAACTACTCTTTCTAATGATCATCTGAACCAAATCTTCCAAATGTCGAACTACAGAAAAATGATATAGTAAATATATTAAACTTTATGAAAACTTCTCTGAAGCACTAGGCATGTATAGTGGGCATTAAAATAGAGTTGAAAAAGAAGCTATTACTTTGTGATTACAGTTTAAAGAAGCTCTGAAACTATAGAAGAAGTCGTTGATAAAAGCCAAAAGTCTCTTATAAAGTAAATAACAATGTTAGATATATTAGTTCTATACAACTGTAAAATCTACAAGAAACTTCCAGAAGGGTTAAGCATTCACAAAAGCTATAGTTTGGTTCACCTCATGCCTTCTCTTTTTTTCGAGAAAAATTTTGTAAAAAGTGGATGATTTAGTTTACCCCTTCCAAAAGATTAACACATAAAACACCAAAACAGTTAACAGTATTTACTTCCTAATCAGGATTGTATAAACAATACAGCAATACAAATATGATTCATACATGTGCCTCAAACTACTGAAATCTTGTGAAATACTGTTCTTGGACTAATCAGTACTCATGCTAACTCTCTACATTCAAGTTGAAGTTTTATCCTATATGGTTTTTGTTAAATATTCTAGTAGATAAAAAAATAATAGAGTTATTTCTATTTAGTATAGTTTATAATTTTTAAAAGCCCAACACAAGCTTATAATTGTGACTATCTGATAGTTGTGTAGTGAGAGTCACACATATCTTTTTTTTTGTTTCTACTTCTCTCCTTTCCCTCTTTTATTTCTTGCATTTGTATCTTTTATCATCTACTTCTATACCTCTGTGTTTTTTTATATATGAGTTTTTTTTGTTTTTGTTCACTTCTCTACGAGAAGATATTATCAAATTGGCAATATCCTATTGTAGAGTGGTAGTCGGATGCGGCCCCTGATATACTCTAATTTCTTTTGAAATTAGATAGTCAGTGCAGGCAGATCACTCGTAGGGACTCATAGAAGCATTCGCGAGATGTTGGGCCAGAATTTATGAACTAATTTGTATGTATGTAATACAAAAATGCATAATAAAGGTGACCAGCAAGACTGCTCAAGTGAAGAAAAAAAATAATTAAATTTTAGATTTAGTAACTAAAATAAAATCTTTAGACAGATTATTTAAATTAAATAATACAAAGTTGTATATATTGTTAGTTGTATTCTTATAATATATACTATATAAAAAAGTAATAATTAAAAATTATTAATAAAAATTTTATTTATTTTTTAAAATTTAGTCTTTTTAAAAACTAAAAATTTTTTATTTTGTATTAGAATATAGTAATTTTAAAGAACCTTTTTATATTAAAAAATACAACTAATTATATATATATTTTTGATATCTAATTTAAATTAACTAAAACTTTTATTAACTTTTTATATAAATATATATTATATAAAAAATTAATATATTCTTTTTTGTAATAATTATTGAATTGGATTTTTATTTTAAATACTTAAGATTTAAATAAAAGTTACTTTTAGTTTTACTTTTTTTTAAAAAAACTTGTTATTAATAAAAATAATATAAAATATAAAAACTAAATTATAAAAATAGAGATGTGATAAAAGAATAACAATTCTAGTATTGTGGTTGAATTGTTATCCTCCAAACAGTAGGTTCAGAATCCAAATTCTACCAATAGCAGAATTTTGAAAATAATTTTATTCTGGCAACTTGAACAAGATATCTGGAGTTGTAACTTTGTAATTCTGATTATATCAAGACTAACTTTGGGAATGTACAATGTTATATAAATAAATCTAGAAAATATATACTTTATAAAAAGTCATGTTTGGAAATCCCAAGTAAAGAGATAGTATAATCTTTAACAATATTACTTATAAAAATCTTGATCCAAAAAAGAAATCTGGAGTAGGTAACTTGTATAAGCAAGAACTTCTAGATAAAAAAGATCTATCAATCTGACTATTAGTTGATTTAGTTATGAAGTCATATTATGCAAAGCTTACTAGATTGGTAATATAAGAAGACTTACAAGAATAAATAAAAAACTGATAAGGTTGTAAAAATAAGTACTAGAGTTGTATGAACTTTACAAAAGTATAGTGATTTAATAGTTAGCCCTAACTGCAAATATTGGTTCAGTTATAACAAGTTCAAGTTAACTATAAATAGAAATACAAAAAGCTTTAGAAGGTTTACCTTAAGAATAAATTAATTCTAAGATTAAAACAAAAATTTGAGATAACTTAGTAAAGTTAACATAGGTTATATATTTAAAAGTTTAAATAAAACATTCAAGTAGAAGTGTTAGATATAGTAACTAATAGAAAACTCTTAAATGAACTTTTTAAATAGATAATATAGAAAAGTTACATATGTAGTAAGTTGTATACTCTTTCTATAGTAGTTTCTATAGAATTATGTTATTTAAAAAAATATTAATAAAGTCAAAAGATCAAAGAGATCACCTTAATATCAAAAAAAAATAAAAATATGATAATTTAGTAAAGTAAATAAGTTGTTAACTTTTTAAGTAACAAGTTGTAAGTTCAAAGCCTATTGAGATAAAATTTAAAAAAATATATCTGTATTACAGTATGACATTTTATTGATTAATTAAAATAAAATATCTATAACTATAATTATATTAATATAACTAATAGGTCAAGATATTTGTATAAATAAGATTATATAAAAAAATGCAAACTGGTATTAGGTAGTGCAAATTTAAGATAAGTTTTTGTTGCTATATAAATCTGTAGAACTGGAAAAACTGAAATTCACTTAAAAAGATCTGAGTAAAAAGATAATATAAATCTTTAACAGTATTATTTTAAAGACTAGATCTAAAAAATAAATACAATATAGAGGAATTAAGCATACAAAAATCTCAGGTAAGATGTACTACTAATTAGACTGCTAAAAGTCTTAAACTAAAGAAAAAAAATATTAAGCTAAACTTAATATACTAAAAACAGATTATAGTCCTATTAGACTATCTGAATTAGAAGTTTGATAATAAAACAAAAGTATACTATAAGTACTAAGAATATGTTATAAAGTGATACTAAAGTCTGAGTAAACTTTGCAAAAGTAAATCCTATAAATAGTTTAGTCTATATAAAGGTCTTCTAGAGCTTTACAGTTAGATAACATACTCTGAAATATTTAATGACTTAACAGATATACAAAAAAAAATCAAATATTAGGTTAGATAACACTTAGATATATAAGAACTTGTATACTATTTGTCAGATGTAATATAGAAATTAGAATGTTTAATTAAGTAATCTTCTAGCAAATTACAGATATAACAACTAGTGTAAAACCTGCAGACAAACTACTTAAATAGGTAACTAAAAGCTGCAGATGTAGTTAGTTGCATACTTACCTTGTACAAGTTATATAATTATAATTAAAAACATAATAAAGGCAGTAATTGCTAATAACAACAACCTTAACAAAAGCAAAAAAAAAATTAGAAAAATTATTTGTAACAAATTAAATTATGATTAAATTTTTAGTTTAATAAACTTTTTTATATTTAGTATTTAAATTAAAAAAGGTTCTAATAACAAAAAACAAAAGTAATTTGTTAAAAGTTAAAAGTTAACAAAATTTAATTTTATGAAAAAGAACTTAAAAAAATATTTCTTAAATCTGAACTTTTATAAATCTGTTTTTTTTTTTGTGTAAAAAATAAAGAAATTTAGTTTCTCTTCAAAAAAATCATTGTTAATTTACTTTCTTTTTTGAACAATTATATATTATAATATAATAAGCAAAAAAAAAACAAATACACAAAAAGTTAATTATATTATACAAAATAATGAAATTGGAATCATAATCATGTTATATTTTATAATTATTTGTATAAAATTTTTATTTTTACAATACAGATTATAAAGTATTTAACTGTTTTAATTTAGTTGTAAAGTATAGTTAAAGTAGATTAAGTTAACTGTTATTTAAAAATATTTTAATATACTAAACTATTAATGTTTATGTTCTTTACTTTTTTATTAATTTTAATTTAGTTTAGATTTTATTTTCTTACAAAAAAATGTTGTTAGTTTGACTGTAAAACAGTGGTTTGATGTGTTTCTTTGATTTATTACTATATTTTCTGATATGCAAGGTTGCATATAGCACTTAAGAAACAGTTGCATAATGTCAACTACATATTCTATTTTTGCTAATATCACTCCCTCGCTAAATCTGATTGGCCTCCAACATTTGATTAGGATCTGATTGGCCTCCAACATTTGATTAGGATAAGGCTCTGTAAGGGGTGGCATTAGCAAAAATAGGGGGTGGCAATAGCAATACCCATTTTATATTTTAAGGAACTTAAATTTTTAAATACAAGTATATAATTTTATATCTCCGTATTTTTTTCGCGACTACTATAACACAATATAGATTTACTCTCTAAATACAGCTTCTCTTTAAGTGCAAAGTTTCATTTCTTTAATAGATTTTCTATGTTTCGGCGAGCAGCACTTAGATTGCATACAGTTAACACTCTGTATAATCACCTTATATAAGCAACTCCATCACATTCTGCATTTAAAACAAATCACTAAACTTTTAAAAAAAAGTATCTTTATATAGGCACAACCACCTTTTTTTAAAAAAATCTTACCTGTGATTATAAAGAAGGATGAAAAAAATACTTTTTTTATAGCTAATCACCAAAAAAAAAAAAATCGCATAGGAAATTAAAACTTTATTGGTTATGTATTACCGAAATAATAATCGTTTTTTCCTATAATATCTATTTGGACATTAGATAAAAATATAATTAATTATAAAATCGAATGGCAAAATATTCATTTGATATTATCTGATAATAGCAAAATTTACATATCGTACAAAACATATACAATTCATACATTCTCAATAGTGTATACCCATTCACAATTTTTTTTTTATAAAAATTTCTAATAGACTAAAAAGCCTTTCTTTTTTTCAACATATCAACCTTTTAACATTTATGTGTTAACAAAAAATTGTATGCCATCATTTGTAAAATAATAATCTATATACTATTACTGAATTTGAAAATTTGAAAACGCGTCATGTGCTTTAGGACAATGAGTTTTATTAGTATCAAGGTCAATCGTATAGCACAAGAACGTCGCATCTATCCTATATACGAATAATGAAGGTTAGTGAACAAGTTTATAACAAAGCAAAATACATTTATCAAAAACTTACGTGTTCATCATAATGCATACAAAAAATTGCGAAATGTGGTAAGGAATTACAGACGCCAGAATACCAATAACATATCCATATGGCGATTGCAATGAATGTGTGGCATAAATAAATGTGGCAAACCCGCAAAACAGAGAGATTGTTATAGAACTGATAAACAAGATGCCTTTTGTTACGATGTCTAGAAATAACATTATATAGTTAGCTTTATATTGTTAATATTATAATATTGGTGAATCTTTACATTCGATATTCATGACAGGTTTATCATTAGGCGATAAAAACAAGAAAAATTCACCTTACCGTTAACTAGTCCAAAGATCAGATTTCGACGAAATAGTTTTGTGGTAAACATTGCTGAAGAACAAAAGCTTTCACCGGAAATTCCAACATATATCAAAGTATAATTATTTAGAACATCAATTAATCCGTCAATACACGACATACATGCGGCCACATAATAGAATACCGGATTTAATTTGGAATTCTATAAGTATAAAGAAATATAACTTTAATAAGCTTACAGTAAAGACATACTAATCTAAATTAGATTAAATTTCACCTTTTTCATAAATTCGTTAATATATTGCAAGCACTGAACGGTAAACATAATCAGACTACCTAGGCATATTGACCCCAATGAGTTTGTGGTAGCTTTTTGAAAAGCCAAGGTGGATGTGTCTTTAGAACCATCACGGTTTTGTTCACGCCTAAATTTAAGTTTATATGTTAAATAAAAATGTATAACAACTGATAGAAGTATAATACACTTGAAAACAATAACTCCACCTGTAGAAATACCAATCCGATACAACTCCCGCAATCGTTACTCTAAGTAAATATCAAAAAACAATTGAGTTACTTGAAATGGTATTGCAATATTCCTGATGTGTAACTGATATTAACCTTTGAATATTTTTTAAAACAGCAGATGTCCACATATACATAAATACAAAAAATAGTATAAGCAAATATGTTTTTAAGCTAAATGCATCTATCCATAAGAACAACTTAATTAGCAAAATTTTTAATAACAAAGCATAAATATAAAAGATCATGTCTTAATTAAACACCTGTCGAAATTTGAACCGTATGACCGACTAGAAACACTCGACTGAAAAATGTCAACCATATTATTGTGAATAAGACATAAGCACCTAACAGTATTGACGAAACGCCAAGTATTCGGTGATTTGCGTTAAATATTTCACAAGCCAACTATCATATTTTATGAAAATGTTAGAATTTTACAATAAATTTCTTCAATATAAAAATATTAAGAAATTGATAATTGTATACATACCTCTATTATGTTTATTGTTCTTTCAACATCTTTCCTACGAGTATATAAACTTACAACAGAGCCAATTGAAATAAATAATGGCATAAAAGATAAAACTAAAAGCCTATAAAGGTTTTATGATAGGAGATTATTGAATCAATTTATATATCATACAGAGTAAAAAACTGGCTATTTCAGATAAAACTACATACACAATGTCTTGCGGATCACGCTTTCCTGATTCTTGACGAGGTCCAGTTAAAGCTGCCACAACAGTCCAAATAAACATTATAGCAAATATAAATGGAACCGATACTAATATTCCCCATATTAAAGGCTGAAAATACAAAAGATGATTAGATTTATCACAATTCTTAATCATCACTCAAGTAATTAACACATACCTGAGCAAATGAACGTAGAATGAATAACCAAATGGCACCTATACATAGGGAAAACAATATAACAAAAAATAGTTTCCCTGTAGGATAATACATTAAACAATAGATAATTTGTAAATTAATTAAAAAAATATGTTAAGATAGCTTTATATATTAATAAAGAAAAACATACATGCACTGTAATAAATAGCAGAGAATACTGTTCCACGAGTATAATCTTCTAATGGAGAAGACTGTTTAAAAATTAAATTCATTAATTCATTAGAAAAAGCGAACGAAATGAACGAGAAAGGATTATAACTCACACTAGTTGTAAATAATAAAAGTAAGCCTATTAACAGCATCGTTGCTAGTCCAATAATAAATAAAACTGCAAATGCTGGATCTCTGAATTTACGATGTGAAAGACCCGATAATAGCGGGGGTGGTATCTAATGCGAAACGAATGATTACAATTTATATAAAAAAAATCATCAATGCTGAAATTTTTGTCAAGAAAATTTACCGAAGATGAAGGAAGTAGTCCCTCTGACAGTGTGTCGCTGGTTATTCTAGTTGTGGGAGTAGGAGGAACATTGCGATAGATCGCTGCCGCAGTCTGTAGAATGTAAGTTTATAGACATATCAAATCAATGCGGATATAATTGATATTCATTTCTAACCTGCGTGTTTTGGTCATCCGAGAATGGAGCATCAAGGAAAGCTGTTTCAGGAACAGGATCAGATCCAAGATACTCATCACCATCATCATATTGATTATAGGTTCGCACTTGCGAAGGTTGTAAAGAGATGGATTCCCGGATTTCAGCATCCGTTAATAGATTTGGAACTGAATAAAAGAGGGACGCACCAGGTTCTTGTGAAGAATCTGAAGAAACAGACCCTCGAGGCCGATTCCACAAATTCTTTGTATATTGAGAAAACATGGAAAAACGGGGAAAGCATTAGCATGTACAAAGTTACGTATATAAATACATTATTAGGTGTACACAAACTTAAACTGGATATTCTAACCGCAAATTGTCAGATGACATATGTTCATACGTGCATTGTCTGACAAGTTTTATTCCGAACGTGGCAGGGTAACACATGAATATCATGTGTTGATCATGGTCAAAATATAAAGGGGTTAAATTCATCCGGTTTATCATAAACGCGTTTTGCGCACTCTTCCTAATTTTACGCGCGAAATTTCCGACGAATTTGCTTGTATAAATCAAAATGGATTATATGGATTACTTTATTGGTTTTCAATTTAATGATTTAGATGTCCTCAAAAGTAATAGAGACACATATATTTGAATTTCGGTTATTTTCTATAGCAGTTAATAAAGTATCATTTACAAAAACAGGAATGGTGAATGTTGCTAAGGGCTTCGGATCTCAATACTGCACATTTTCCGTTTCTCGATCAAAAGTGGAATTAATTGGTTTAGATATATCATCATCATCATCCGTATATGTTTACGTGTATGTTTATACTTCAAATGTCCCTTAGAAATGTTAACCATATTCATTAACCACTGTATAATTAAATTTATTCTTTAAAAATAGATCTTGTGAAGTCTCAGCCGATACGTTTGTTCAATTGTTAAAATTCAACATTCCACCTTCAATTCAAAATACTGAAACTGTATGTTTTAAAGTCAATACACACAACTTGGCTCACGCGATCGAATGTATGTGTAGGAAAACATATGAACATATGAGGACAAATGTATGTATGAAACTACGTGAGTCTGGAGAAAAATGGATTCTAAACCTTCTACGTGAGGAATATGTAAGAATTTTTTGATGGTATTTAATCATATTACAAATATATTATCAAGCCTCGTTAAAATACACTTTCTAAATCCTTAATAAGACTGATAAGGAATTTAATAAGAATGAAAAGGAAATTTTTGTGCTCCCTGAGACTTTTTTGAAGTGCGAACCGACAATTGGGCCTTTTAATGTATGTATATATGTGCCCATTTATGTTTACTTATTACTATTTCCATCAAGGAAGTTTACTACTTTCACTATTGCCGTAATTTTTCATATTTATATAGTCGTAAGTTGTATGATAAGTATAGTGGAAATAGTAAATTTTCATGGTAGAAATAAGTGTACCTTATGTTTATAGTAATTTGATTAACATTAGGTGTTGAATATTTTAGGTAGATATTGCACTTCCTGATTTTTATAAAGTCCATTGTGTTGGTGCGTCAATAAAAAATTTTAATGAACGTATAAAAATTAGCGCAAACAATCATGGAGAATTAAAGTTGGAGGCAGGGCATGCAATGTTCAACATAGTAACTTGTTTTAATAATTGTACCAATCATATGGGTATGTTATATTTCTATAGATGCAGACTTATTTACGTCAAACCGGTTTATAAAATAAGGCGCAATTGAGCCGTAACTAGTGACATAAATATGTCTGCATCTACAATTATCTTTTGTAATATTGTGATTAGTAATATTGTGGTATTTTATCTATTAATATTAGATTTAGTAGAAATACTTGAAGATGACTATCTCAAATTTGTAACCATAAATGTAGATTCAACACATTTTGTGAAATTTTTTAATGTTGTGACAGAAGAGTTTGATGTCAATTTTAGTAAGATTTTTTTTTTTTTTTTAGTACTGGTTTGACTGCTTATATATTGTGTAAACTAATTTATGTGCTTTTGAATTTTAGAAATTGTTGATAATCATGCTTTGTTGTTTGAAGCTGATGACAATTGTTTAAAAGTAAAGTTAATATTACCAGCAAAGCTTTAGATTTTTTTTAAAATGCATTATGAAAAGTTTTTTAGCAATTATGTTTATAGCAACATTTTAAGTTACTTATATAACCGTAAAAAAAAATTACAATTTAGTTAATTACAATTTTTTGAGATATAAGTAAAATATACAATTTTGCTTTTAACTCATTAATTCTCAAGCTGAACATTGTTATGTCTATTCATAGCTATGTTATTTGAGTAATATTGAAGTAGTTTTATAAAAGAGTGCTAATAGGAAGTTGTAATGATAATAGGTTAAATAATAATTGGCGTAGAAGGAAGGAGGGTTCGACGATAAAATAATGATAATTTTAACCTATTTATATTATTATTATAATATTCTTATATTAATAATACAAAAATTATTTGAACATAAATAATATCAAAATTTTTACAAAAAAAATAATTTATTTTATATAAATCGATATTTTACACGATCATCTTGTTAAGATCATTAAGAAATCCTAGATAAGGTAGAATATGCATTGTAATTATTTATATCATGTGGAGAATTACACTCCACAGATTTCAATGGCCAAAGATATTCTGTGATCCTTTAAAGATTTTCTTTATGTAATCTTTGTCCGGATTAGATGTGGAATTCGTATTTATATTTGTATGAATAAATAATAAACATGACTTTTTGGTATGGATAAAATAATGTCTCACTTATACGTAGCACAATCTACCTCTCCTTAGGGATATCCAACACATAATGTGCGTCAACGTATCTCTGAGCGTTTTCATCATCTTCAAAAGTAAGTAAATATCGTGATGATTTTGGTGTTAATTTACTTGGTGGAATAACTACAACAGCTTTATAAAAACACGTTGTAGAAGGATATAATGCTATGACTGTTGAATCTATCGGAAATTCAGGTGATCGCATTTCTCCGGGATTTGGAATTGCTATAACATTTTTCGCTGGTACTAAAAATCGTCTATATTAATATTAATAAAAGATAAGAACATGATATTGAAGGATAGGAAATGTGGAAATGTTTGAACTGTGAACGACGGATGGCAAGCAAATTAGAGAGTAAATTAGAGAGAGAATTAAAGAGACTTACTCGCCAGGCCTATTTGATGCCTCATCTTTATCCGCATCCTCAACTTCGTAACTTTATTATTTCAGGAGAATTATTATAATTAGAATACATTGGAAAGTTTTACGGAATATTACACGCGATTTTGTTACCTCTTTAAATCAGTTCGATATTCTACAATTGTGGCCAGAATCCAATTTTCTTCTATGTCTTTGTCCCTAGGTTGTTTTGCCGCGACCTGTCAAATACATGAGCCAGCATGTCATAATACTAATTTCTTTTACCAATAATACTAAATCGAAAAAAAACTTACTGAAGTTCCACTTTTAATAATAACGCTACCTTTCATTTGCGATCTAATGGTATCAAAAGTTCAATGGCGTTAAATACAAAAGAGTGGAAAGACATTAAACATTTGTACATACACTTTTGATTTTTTTGCCTTATTGCTACCTGAAGTGGCTTCTTGGCTCTTTCTTTTTTTATAGATATTTTCTTCTGTATTTAAATCTAACATTAAACTAAAGTTAACACAGGTATTGAAAATCATAATCTTACATAACATAATAAATTGACGCTCAATAACAAAGACAATACCCGATGGTGTTCGGGAATCTTTTGTGGACTCCAGATACTTTTCGATATCTTTTGAGATCTTTTTATCCATTCTGAACTTATTCAAAAAAAACAAAAAGAAGAAATGGATATGTATGAAAATACGATAAGTTTGATAATTAATAATTGAAATAATTACTCTTCTTCACGGCTGGCCTGTTTAATAGCACTCCTATATAAACTTTCAAGTTTTACTTTGTCATCCTGAGTCGCATACCCAACTAGATACATAAATTTTATAATTACATTTTATTTGATTCGAATTCGTTTGAATGAATTGTTTCTAATCAATAAATATTAAGAGGTTTAATAATTTGATAAATAAACTACCGTGCTGGATTCTGTCATGATGGTCGTTTATTAATTTAATTAGTTCGATACCATCATTTTCTATTTCATCCAAGCTGGCAAGACTATCATTTATTTGAGCCAAAGAAATATCGTCATAATCAGGAGATTGACGAGAAGTTTCACCTCGATATTTGTCCATGCTCATCGTTTTTACGGTAGTTTAATAAATTATTAATAATAAAAAAATTAAAAATTAATTAAAAAAAAGAATTAAAAAAAAAAAAGTTAGCAGAAAAGCCAATTGTGTAGCCAAGATTTATTATTATTCGTTTTCCAAAATTAGATGATAACCAAGATGTTACATTAGATCTCGTACATATACACAAAATAAATACGCAAAGATTATTATAGAAGTTTCCTTTCCTAATCTGGAGCATGTCCCACATTTACTCACATTTTACTTTATGTACGTATTATGATTGATTTTTGTTATATTTTGTGCATACATATATATATTAAGGAGTCTGAGCCCCCACACCTCTCTTATTTTTTAACACAATTCTCTCCCTTTCTCCTGATTTATTTTGTCACTTACGTCATTCACTTTATTTTGTGACCTATATTTCGTGTATAATCGATTTGTCTCTTTCACCATTCATGGAAGTCAATCGTAATTACAATAGCTCTTGAAATCAACGATAAATCCATCCTTACTTCCATCATTCCCTTATCCTAAATGTCCATCATATCCGGTTTAATTCATTACAACAAATTTACTTGCCCATATATGCTAAGTTTAATATTAAATAAACTTTCAAATCATCTTTGTTAGATATATTTTTAACAGTCCAGAACAATAATATGTCATTAAATAACGATTTCAAAAATGAAATAGACCAATTGAAAGAATCGCCTATACCTTCTACATTTCCTACTCTACCATTCGATTATCCTATAACAGCTATCACAGAACACGACGAAAAAAGTAATGATGATAATCAATTAGACATCGTTGGATCTGATGTTAATCATCATTTGACATTAAATACAAAGCAATCAACACCGCGTCGATCTTCAACATGGCCTCTTACTCCGCCAGACCTTTCAAGTAATAATGCATCTTCGGCAAGACCTAGTACCGACGATATAACGCCGGCTTCTCAACATGTTAGAAGTCTATCTTTGAGCCAACGAATAAATCATTCATTAAATCAGAAACGAGAGAGCCTTAAATATGCAGCAAAAAGAATAACGTCGATCGTAATTGGTTCTAAGGACGATATCATCATTCGCAAAATTCCAATCATTCCAGAGAGAACAGATCCATTATTAGACCCTAAAACTAATTCCCCATTTATTAGCAATTCTATAACTACTTCACGTTACACTTTCTTCAATTTTCTTCCGAAACAACTTTATGCTCAGTTCTCAAAGATTGCTAACATATATTTTCTTTTTGTTGCTATAATTCAGAGTGGCATGTATTTGTACTTCATGATATTCATCTTTTCTTTTTTTTTTTTGGTGTCTTATTTCGACTAACTTGTGCACCTTGATGCGTATGACAGTGCCTGGATGGAGTCCTACTGGTCAGTTCACCACTTTGATCCCTTTAAGTGTATTCATATCAATAGCGATGGCTCATGAAGGCTTTGATGATTATCGGAGGCACAAACAGGACACTATAGAAAACAACAAGGAATGTTCAGTATTAAACGTTTATCGATCAAATGATGTGACATCCCAGAGATTAGGTGTTTGGAGAAAAACAAATTGGAAAAATTTACGAGTTGGTGATCTTGTGAGTGTTAAAGCTCAAGAATGGGTTCCCGCTGATTTATTACTATTACATTCGAAAGGTGAAAAGGGGATTTGCTTTGTTGAGACTTCTGCTTTAGATGGTGAAACTAATCTTAAGCAAAAGCAAGCCCTCAAAGATACAAACAATATATTAGCTTCTCCAGAAACTCTTGCTAGTTTTAAAGGTATGATTTATATAATTGTGATTGGTGAAAAATATTAGACAAGACTTTCTAAAATTAATTATAAATAACAGCTATGGTTTCTGCTGAGAATCCAAATCAAGACTTGTATAATTTTGATGGATCGATAGAGTTACCTGATGGAAAAATATGTGCACTTTCAAATGATCAAATTTTATTACGTGGTACCATCTTACGTAATACTCCTGAGATATACGGACTAGTGATATTTACTGGCGAAGAAACAAAACTTCGAATGAATGCTTCAAAAAATATTCGAACAAAAGCTCCTATGATACAACAATTGGTTAATAAAGTGGTTATAATTATATTTTTATTTGTAATATTTTTGTCTATCTTTTGTACAGCAATGTCGGAAATTTGGGCAAAACGTTTTTGGAAGAATGCTTGGTACGTTTTTGGAGTTGAAAGACAGTTGCATATATCTCTGTTTGCATTTATTATCTTGTTCAACACCATGATTCCGATCTCTCTCTATGTTACCATGGAAATTGTCAAACTAGTTCAAGTTTATTTTATTAACAAAGATATTAATATGTATCACGCGGAAAATGACACTCCTGCTGAAGCACGAACATCAACAATCAATGAAGAATTGGGTCAAGTTAGTTATATATTTTCTGATAAGACTGGAACACTTACGGATAATATAATGTTATTTAGAAAGATTAGTGTTGGTGGACTAGCGTTTTTACATGATATGGATTTGTTCGATATAGGAAAGGATGAATTATCGCAACTGTTAGATCAATGTCAAAATTCTGTTACAAAAAGACAAAGTAAATATTCTTACACATCAGTTGGGCAACATATTCGTAACCGGACGCTTGATAGTCTCGAAAATTATGAAACTATTGAATCTCCAAGACGTAGAGATTCAAATACTAGCGGGCGTTTTTCGATGATTGCACCGACTACAACTTGTCCATATAGACATGATTCAGTATCCAAAACCACGATAGGGTCTATAAAAAAAGACAAGGATCCTACCATTCGTTCCACATTTGATTTATTGTCCATCATTCAACATAAATCTCATACGCCATTCGGAGAAAAGGCGAGATTCTTTTTATTGGCTATTGCATTATGCCATACTTGTGTACCTGAAATTGATCAAATAACAAATGATGTATTTTATCAAGCTGCATCACCTGATGAATTTGCACTTGTGAATGCTGCTAAAGAGTTAGGATATATTGTTATGGATAGATCGATGTCTTCAGTCTCTCTATTGATCAATAACGATGGTACTGCTGGCTTAAAGGATCCTAATAATGCAACAAAAACATATGAAACCTATCAAATTCTAAATGTCATTGAATTTTCAAGCAAAAGAAAAAGAATGAGTGTTATTTATCGTTTGCCTAATGGAAAAATATGTCTACTTTGTAAAGGGGCAGATTCGATAATACTTGAGAGATTAAGAATAAATAGTACAAATATTTCTTCGAGATCGTTTAATAACGAAGATAAAAGATATAGTATGACAATAGATCTTGAACACTCAATAGTTGATCCCTTTCAGATGCACGATGAAAGATGTCTTTATAACGAAACCATGCTTCATATTCAGCAATTTGCGACCGAAGGATTAAGAACATTACTTTATGGACATCGATATTTAGAAGAAGATGAATATAATGAATGGAATAAATTTTATCAAGAGGCTTCAACCACTATTGTGGATCGACAAAAAAAAATGGAACAGATTGCGGAAATAATTGAAGCAGATTTAGAGATCACTGGCGCCACAGCGATTGAAGACAAATTGCAAGATGGAGTTCCAGAAACCATCGATAAATTGTGTAGAGCAGGAATTAGAGTATGGATGTTGACTGGTGACAAGAAAGAAACTGCGATCAATATCGGATATTCTTGTTCTTTAATTAAAAATTACTCTACTACCATTATTCTAGACCAAAATTTTGACCTTGACCTGACCCTAAGTCAGGCATTAGAAAATATTAATGCCAATATAGGAAAACATGCTGTAGCAGTTGTTGATGGTGCCACGCTGATGGTAATAGAACAAGAAGCTGCACTAATGGAAAAATTTGTCGAATTGGGAATTCTATGTGGTTCAGTTATTTGTTGCCGTGTAAGTCCATCACAAAAAGCCTTGGTAGTTCGGAAAATTCGAGAGAAATTAACTTGTGCAGTAACTTTAGCAATTGGAGACGGGGCAAATGACATTGCAATGATTCAAGAAGCGCATGTTGGAATTGGAATTGCGGGCAGAGAAGGACTACAGGCTGCAAGAACAAGTGATTATTCGATAGCGCAATTTAAATTTTTAAGCAATTTGTTGTTCGTACATGGTAGATGGTCTTACATACGAGTGTCAAAATTCATTTTAGGAACATTTTATAAATGCATGTGTTTTTACCTTACACAAGGAATATTTCAACTTTTTGCTGGATTCTCTGGAACTAGTTTATATGAGCAATGGACTCTTTCATTTTATAATACACTATTTGCATCATTGCCTGTCATGGTTATCGGAATATTTGAAAAAGATTTAAACTACAAAACATTATTAGAAGTTCCAGAATTGTATACCCAAGGACAATATAACGCCGCTTTTAATATAAAAGTTTTCTTTGCTTGGATGAGTGATGCAATTGTTCATGCTCTTGTGATAGTTATGGTACCGTTTATTATGCACGAAACCCTTTGTAAATATGAACTTAGAAATTTCGGATCACCTCAGTTATACGAGCTTGGATTAGTAGTATATACATGTGTAGTGTTTGTGGTTACATTCAAGATAGCATATTTAGAATGTCATAATTGGACAGTCATAACACACGTTACATCATTTTTGACATTATTTGGTTGGTTTTTATATCAAACCATCTATTCTTTTGTTTACCCGGTAGATACGAAAAGTGCAACTTATGACGTACGTGGAGTATTTCAACATGATGCAACTAAGAGTGAATTTTGGGTAACTGTGATATTAACAACTTCGTTAGCTATTATACCAAATATTCTAAAAAAAATAGGAACGAATGTTTTCCATTTTAATGATGTTGATGAATATCAAGCTATTGAGAAGGAAGATAAATATTTACAGGAAATTAATACTGATGAGACACGGTAGAATTGTCTCAATTGTTAATTATAATTTTAATTTTCATAATGTTGATAAAAATGTATTTTCGATTTGTTAATTATAATTTTAATTTTCATAATGTTGATAAAAGTGTAATTTCGATTTTAAAATGTATAATACGTCATAAAAAGATTACAAAATAAATGTTTAAAAATTTTTTGAGAAACTTTTTTTTTTTTTCTTATAGTGAAACAATCGAAATAAATTGATTTACCTTAAATAATAAATTAATAACGATAATGTAATTATAGCATGTATATATAAAACAATGGAATATACAATACAGTAATAATTAAAATAATGAAATATTGTTTGATATTATGTAATATTGTTTGATATTTAATTAAAATGATTAAAAAACTCTTATAGCATCGTCCATTATTCGATCCAATTCCTAAAAATATAAGTAAATTAACATACGACCATATAATAACATAAAAAAACATAAATTATTGACTCTTACCAATTCTAATATATCAAGTTCATCATTTACACCCTCAAACACTGATCTAATTTCATCTCTAATATCTGCGGGATTAATCCGTTCAAGAATTTTTTCAGGATCATCATGTAAATGCCATCCGCTTCTCCTCCTTTGCTTTATTTCCAACATGTTTACTCCTGATCTAACAAGTACTAAAAGTTCTTGCAATCCAAAATCATCTGATAATACCCAATCATTTTCTAAAAGGGAGGCGGTTGATCCAATAATACTTTGATTATCATCCATATTTTGGAATAAGTTATTATTGGTAGTATTAGGTAATAAATCATTAGTCATATCTCCGTTATTAATGGAGATATCATGTTTAGATTGTGAAGTTGGTGATAGTTCATTTCTACCATTAACATTATTAATGACATTATTAATGGAGATATCATGTCTAGATTGTAAAGTTTGTGGTGATTCATTTCTACCATTAACATTATTAATGACATGATTAACGGAGATATCATGCCTATATTGTAAAGTTTGTGGTGATTCATTTCTACCATTAACATTATTAACGACATTATTAATGGAGGTATCATGTTTGTATTGTAAAGTTTGTGGTGATTCATTTATATCATTAGCATTATTGTTTCGTCTGTTCCGAAGTGCGGATGTAATGCTTGGAACATTACCGTTTTCATAATGACCAGCCTTAACCTTGCTCAATACTTGTTCAATTTTAACTTTTTTATCTTCAGGTAATTCATCATTATCTTGGTTAATCATTAGTTTCTCTAAAATATCAACTTCTTGTGTTGTACTTCTCCGTCTTTGTTTTTTAGCGTTAACTGCTAAAGAATCTGCGGATTCATTATTTTGGTCTAATGACGATTGTTCATCTTGATCATTTATGTTTAATAATTCATCATCACCCCACATATCTTCAATAAGTTTACTAATATCAAAAGTATCTCCTCCTGCTGAAATAAAAGAGTATCGTACTCTATTTCCAAAAACACGTGAACTCCGAATAGCACCCATGTCAGTAACAATATCGACACCTTGTTCTTGATTTTTCCGTGCAGATATAATGGATTTTTGTCTTGCTTGACTATATTGACGTTGTTGTTCAATAAGATGTTTTTTTACTAATGCATCCTCTCTATCTATTGATTGCTGATTAGTTGTTCCTAACATTCTAACATCTTGAGTATAACGTTTCACTTCTTCAGCTGATGGCATTGCACGTTGTTGCCGTTCTTCTGGTCTTAAAAGTCTTAAAACAAATATAGACTCATCAGGACGATAATCTAATGCTAAAGATGATTGTGAATCTATTGAATCCATAGAAAAATGACGAAGGTCCGGTGGTGATTGATAGACGGAAATTATGTTAGCATTCGGGTTAATAAATTTTTCTGCACATAAAAATATATATTAAAATCATTAGAATCAATTTTATTATTAATTTCAGGAAATATACATATATATATATTATTTTTATTTTTTTTACCTTCACCGTTGACTATAATCATAAGTTGATAACGTAATTTTTCATCATCGTATATTCCACCATCATCAACAATGCCCTCAGTAATACCAATTTTGTCCATCGCTTTTTCTATAACCTGTCTAACGGTTGCATTTGCAGTTACAATTAATGATTTTTCTTTAGGTTTTGCTTCTTCTTTCGAACGTCTTCTTGCAGCTTTTTCAGCAAGATGCTTAGGTACAGACATAGATGTTCGAGATTCGGTCACTTTTGTTGATCGAAGACTAACGGGTAAATCATCCGGATAAATAAGGACACGGACACGTAACTTTTTTTCACCGACTTTTGTTTTTTTGTTTAAACATAAACAAACAGTATTTGGACCATCATGTAATTGTAATTTCTTGATTGTTTCATCATCTGAAAGATTTGAAGAAATAGATGATCTTCGAATAGATGGTAATGTTATTGAATAATATGAAATTAATTGGGAGAAAATTTCGAACGGATTTTGATCAGGAATTAAATATTTTTCATCTTTATTTATTTCTTTTATGGAAATATAATAATTATCAAAATTTCCATCATCTAATTTAAACCGTTGTATCGCTTGTTTTATAAATGATGTTGTAGTTGAATTTTTATGTAACAATATAGTTTTAGATTGGAAATTTGTTGGCAAATTTTGACCAGCAAAGACGCGAATAACGCAGTATTCATGAAGAACTTGTTTAGGTGAACTTTGTTGCGAATCAATACTGGGTCGAGGAGTACTGTTAGTACCGTTAGCACTGGTAGTACCGGTATTATGGTTAGTTTTAGATTGCGTAGCTCTCTTTTTCCATTTAAATAGACTCTTAAATATTCCTTTTTTCACAGCGTTTTTTGATATTTCTGATGGTTCAGATGTTATATTACTATTGTTATTATTATTGTTATTGTTGTTATGTTCTTCATCATCAGAGAAATCCATGAAACTACCCGTGGTCGGTGTCGTCGGATTACTTATAGATAATCCGTGTTGCTGTTCCGCAGGATAACCATATTTTTGACGATGCAACCCGTCTTGTTGCCCATTTTGTCCTGTTGGTGTTGGACTAGTAAATTCTCTCAAAGTATATGGATTAATATTTTCATCGACTTGTGTTGATACAGAGTGTGACGTTGCAGTTTCTTGATTCACATTCCTATTTTCTTCCACAGGTTCATCTATTTCAACTTTTTCTTGGGTTGTCGTCTCAATCTGCTCTTCTTGACCATCATCATCTTCCTCATCTTCCTCGTCATCATAATAATAAGCGTTGTCTTCTGCAATTACAAATTCTGGAGATGTGAAAAAAACGACTTTCCTGCCTTGATATTTTTTCTGATCATTAAGTAAATTATCCTCTTCAGTATTATTTAGTGATGAGCTTAACTAATAAAAGAATTATTGTTTATCGATTAATATGAAATATAATATAATTGTCGATTGAATAAAAACAACTTACAGTGACATTTCTGTGTTTGTTTAATCTCGCCAATCGTTCGTAAGGTGTCTATAAATAAAATGAAATATTTTAATCATGTCGGTTTACCATTTCATTAATGTCAAAAAATATGATTGGATTATTACAATTTACCTCAATGTTCTCAGCAGGTATATAACCAACTTCTTCGGTTTTCACAACTTTAACCAACCACCAATAACTATTCGAATCATCCAACAAATTTAGTGAATCACCTTTGTCAACGGTAGTTTGTCCTTCGACAGTCGCTTTAAAATTATGTAACGCATAAACTAAGGAAAAATCGATATTTTCATCGATTATAGGGGAGGGTGACAAGTCATCGTCGGATTCATCACTCAAATCTTCGGGAGATGTGTTAATGTTTTGACCGCGAGCGGCAGCTGTATCGATAGATAGATTATGGTTTCTAATCATTGATAAATTGATTCTTATATTTACCGAAAAAGAAATTTTAAATGTGTATCAATAAGATATTAATGCTATAAAATTACAAGATGATTTCCATTTTTCTCTGAATATATGCTAATAATATGCAAAACGCAAAACGAAAAGCATAAAAAAATCTCCAATTTATATAAACCTTAATATATATATAAATCTATATATATATAGATATATTATACTTTTGCTTGCCAACTTTTTATTAAAGTAAAATTTTTTTGATGCACTTGATGCTGAACAAAAAATAAGAATGCATTAAAACGCATACTAAAAAGTACAGGTAGAAATTTTCAAAACTAAAAACTGCCGAATTTTAATGATTAAATAATATGCATGCTCACATTGTGTGTTTACATTTTGTGAATTGAGTTCTACTAAATTTATGTACAATTATGAAGAACAAGTATTATTTGTGAAACAAATTATACTATCAAATTTGTGCGTATGGTAGTTACCTTTATAGTTTAGAACAAGGAATTATGCTCTTTCGGGTATTTATAAAAAAACTTAAGATGTAACGTTAAAATACACAAAAACTTCGATATCCTTATTATGTTAATTTAATATAGCCATCTACAATTTGATCTCTTTGATACATTTAGTTATAAAAGTAAATCTTAAACATCCCGTTTTAAACTTTCGTAGTTTCGCAAACCATGGTGGTTTTAAAGGCACGGAACTTCATAACAATAAATGAAACAAAACTATTTATGGAAAGTACCGGCATTCGCTAGGAACATGTTTTATTTTTAGGAAAAAATTCCTAGAAAAGAATCCATATTTTCTTTACGTATGCATATTAATAAATATATCTCTTTTATATAATCCAAACCCGAATTTTGTTAAGCTACGTATACGTATAACGTTACGTACGCACAATGTATTATATATTCATTTGCGCTGCTGAAACTTTTAAGGAGGAATCGTTACGAATGCTTAATGGCGCAAAAATTCGACATGGTGTATGTACGTAAGTATGTACATACAGTACAGTACGTACGCATGAATGCTGTGTCCCGGCATTTGGACATGTGAAATGTGTCATGTGAACAGACTAACATTCGAATGCATGTTAGGTTCGACTTTTCAGAATTGCTTATTGACCGTTGTAGTGTTTCGCGATTCGGATGTTCGCGCTAGGTTTCATAATAATGCTGATGTTTTATTAGCAATAGTTTAGGTCATGATTGGTGGCATAATTTAAATCTTGATTTGTAGTAATTAATTATTTAATTAATGACTTACTGCAAAGTAATACTTAATATACTTATTAGTCCTACATGCGAACCACAGGATTTTCATTAATTAAATGTGGATTTTTAAACTGCTTATTATATACAAAGTGTTTATTTATTTTAAATTCTTCTTTTTGCAATGTAAATACACACCTATGTACTAGACTCCCGGACAGATCCGAAACAAATCTCGAATAGATCACAATCGCTATTTTCATTGAATAAACCAATTTTACCTCTTCAATGATATACTTGACAATTAATGTTATCCACTTAAAGCATAGTACAAATACGAATCGTTAGAATATCACTTAGATCCAACCGTACTATATATACGTAACAAATCTTTGTATTCTTGTAACGGATTGGCAAGCATCGGTAATGAATTCGAAGCTTTAATATCAGAAATTACAGTAAAAGCTAACAATATTTTAGCTATCACACTTTTTTTACTTAACAGGGACGGGACATATATATCTCTACAAAGATTTCTTCATAAAAATTGAAAGGTGAAGGAAGCTATAGTTAGAATATTTGATTTTGTAAGCATGATATCAAATATTATCTAGCTTACAAAAGCAATAATAATAGGTTCTATAAAATAGAAAAGAAATCCGAAAAATCTAGCTTTGAATTTGGTAAAATATAAATCAAGAGAATATGTATAACAGATATTATTTTGTTACATTAAAAAATTTGCAAATCGAAAAATTTTTATATATTAACATATGAATAAATTTTTATAAAAATATTTTTTATTTTGATTTATTTAGTATACACCAGAGGTGAAATTCAGTGTTTTTTAATTATTATATAATCTATAAAAATTTACCTCAAATTTTTAAGTTAAAATTAAACTTTAGGGTTAGGGTTTAATGCTTAAAATAAAGTAAAGGTTGGGTTTTTTAGCGATGAATATTTTTACTTAATATACCGAATATCTATTACCCAAAAAGTTTTTGAGAAATAGCAAACCCAGTGAATTTCACTTCGGTGAGCATTAAAATCATCTTATTAATAATTAAAAATATAAAATTTATATTTAATATAAACCTCTGATTATGGTTTTCTTTATAACTACTGTACTAATCCAAATTAATTAAAACTTTTACTAAAAGTAGATGCGATATTAGACTACAATATATTAAAATTTTAGTTCATTTGAATTAGTAATTTGAGAAATTACTTAAAAAATTATAAATATAATTTTTAAGTAATTTTTCAAAAACTTCTAATACAAATTAAAGATTTAGGTCTTATAATTTAGTAATTAAGTTTTTAAAACTTTTATAATAAGATTAACAATTTAAGTTGGATTAGAAGTAAAAAATATTCTGTATTCAAATAAAATGATAATTACGGTTGAAGTTTTATATAAAGTTTAAGTAATATATAAAATAAAATAAAAATTCTTAGAAAAAATTAATATTATAAAATGCAAATATTATATATAATGAAAAAATGTTTTTATATACTTAATAGTTATATATTTTTTAAATAATATAAAACAAAATACATTTTAATTGGTCAATTTATTTATATATTTTAAAATAAAATTTAAAAATATAATGTTTTATTAAAAAATTATATAAATAAATTTTTAGAAGATGGTAATTCTAGTGTAGTGAGTGAGTTGTCATTCTCCAAATAGCAAGTCTAGTGTTTAAATTCCACCTATAATAAAATTAAAAATTATACTTGTATTACAGCAAATTGTCTTTTAATAATTGGTTGAATTAGTGTATTTGTAACCTTTATTTGTATAAATATAATATTACACATATATAGAGAAATTTTAATAACTGATATTACATAAAATCTTAGTAAAAACTTATAATAAGACTACTAGCATAAAAAACAAAAAAACTAAAGAATCAGAAACCTACTTGAAAATTTCTAAGTAAAAAAATAGTATGAACTTTTACAATACTGTAATAGAAGTTTATAAAATATTTTTAAAAAGATAAGTATATAAATCAAATAACAAAATGTATAGAGAAGCATATGATCAACTAAGTTATCAGATTTACTAAAGAAAAATAATACTAAAGTATACTGTACTAGACTATTTAAATTAGTAATTTAAAAAATCCTATCAGTTCTAAATAGCAGTTAGTAAAAGATAACAAAAAAGATATCAGAAAGATAAATATTAGAATTCTAGTAAATTTTACAAAAATAAAAATAATTTAGTATAGTAGTTTAATAGAAATGTCTATAATTACAAATGTTAGTAAATTGTATAAAACTAAGTTAGCTATATATAAAATACAAATGATTTTAGTAAATTTTCTATTAAGAATAAAGTAATCCTAAAGATTTTAAATATATTGAGTGCTTTGAATAGATGTAGTCTTGAAAATATTACTATAATAAAAGTTGTATTACATATGCAGAGAGTTTAAATAGACAAGATTTGTAATTAGTTTACAGATATGATATCTAGTATGAATCTGTATAATAATATATAGGCAAACTACTTAAATTAGACACCAAAAATACATATATAACTAGTTGTAATCTTTTATATATAAATGTTTCTAAAATTATTTATGTTTAAAAAAAACTTAAATAAAATATTATTTCTTAAAACTAGAAACTTTAACTTAAAAAACAAAAAAAAAACAAAAGAATTTCTAGTTTTATATAATATAAATATTTATTATTAAAATTAGTTTAAAATAATTTACATTTTTAAAAAGTTTACTTAAAAACAAATATTTTTATTATATATTACTAATACTAATTATATTAATTATAAATTTTTTTTTGACTATCCTAAGTGAATCATTATAGGGTATATATGGCATTCTTTATTATTAAATATAACTATAGTATTACTATTTACACATTAGAGAGTCTAAGCTAAATATTTATAGATTTGTTTATAAATTAGTTTGGCTAGGGTTTTAGTCTGAAGCAAACCAATTTCTTTAGAAATTTTGTTTTTTACTATAGCAGCAATTGTTATTTCTAGGTATTATATTTCATTCTATTTATATGCTACAAAATAGTACCAAATTTTGTATATAGGCTATGTATATAACTACAGAATTGTGTTATATACTTTGGTTCTTTCTAGAGTTTTTTTTAAAAAGACTTTGTCTATCGAGTCTGAAATGACTTCTGTTTGGTTTGTTTTTAGAAATTTGTAGATTTCTGTTCAAATTAACTTGCTAATTCTGTATTCTATTACTAAGTGTTCAATAGTTTATATATTATTTAAGCATCATAGACATTCACCCAAGTCTGTTAATACAAAGTGACAAAGCCTGTATACTAATAGTAAAGTTTTGTAAAAAAGTTACTAAAGTATATTCTTTTTTTTATTTAGGATCACTTTTTGAAGAATCCAGTTACAGTCTTGAGACTGTATTATAGTGTTAAATTGATCTGTTAGTTTAGTTTTAAGTCTTCTTAAAAGCGCAACTATAAGTTAAACTATTATTTTCAGTATTTTCTTTCTATTAATTTTTAGATTTACTGAATTCCAGGCTCAATCTGAGTCTAAGAGAACTTTTTCTTTAACTTTTTTCCATGCTAGTAAATAGTATTAACATTAAAAATTTTATACATTTTTGATTATAACTTTTGATATACCAAACCAATTTGGATTAAACAAGTATTATTAGATTCAACTCATTAAAATGATTCTAACAAGTACACAATTATGTAATTATAATTACAAGATCATAAGATTGGGATGATTTTAATAAAAGTACTAATTTTAATACATGT